CCCGCGGCCCCCCCCCACCCAGCCCTGCCCCCCTCCACTCCCCCCCCACCAACTCTGCTTCCTGCCCCCCCTCGTCCTGGCCAGCACCCTCCTCTCCTGGCCAGTTCTTCACCCTTCTCCTCTCAGAGAACCAAGCCAGCCCCAGTGGCTCAAGTCCTGCGCAAGGCCAGCCCCCACATATATTACATTTGATATCACGGGCTGGAGGGAGGAGGGGGCTCCCCTGCCCTGGAAGTGCCTGCGCCCCACCAACTCTGCTTCCTGCCCCCCCTCGTCCTGGCCAGCACCCTCCTCTCCTGGCCAGTTCTTCACCCTTCTCCTCTCAGAGAACCAAGCCAGCCCCAGTGGCTCAAGTCCTGCGCAAGGCCAGCCCCCACATATATTACATTTGATATCACGGGCTGGAGGGAGGAGGGGGCTCCCCTGCCCTGGAAGTGCCTGCGCAGTGGAATGGGCTGGTAGGGACGAGTGGGGCTGCTGCCCCTCGGAGTGCCGGTGTTGGGGGGAGGTGGTAATTGGGTCCAAAAGTACCTTAAAACCTTCTCCTGGAGGAAAGGTTCTCCCATGCAAAGCTTGGTTGCGGTAGCTCTTATAGGGTATGTCTAGACTACAGGGTTTTGTTGACAGAAGTTTTGTTGACAGATACTGTCGACAAAGCTTCTGTTGACAAAGAGCGTCTAGACTACAGCCAGTTCTGTCGACAAAGCAAGCCGGCCTTCTATCGACAGAACTCTGTCAACAAAAGGCGTTATTCCTCGTAGAATGAAGTTTACATACGTCGACAAAACTGCTGAGTTTTGTCTACATTATGTCGACATAACTCAAAGGCAGTGTGGACGCAGGTATAGTTTTGTCGACAAAAGGCCATTTTTGTCGACAAAACTCAGTAGTCTAGACACACCCATAGTTTCCAAGTTATCAGAGCACAAACATACAAACATTCTCCTTTATATATTAGTTAAATTGCCAGGACAATCAGGGTATGTCTAGACTACAGGGTTTTGTCGACAGAAGTTTTGTCAACAGATACTGTCGACAAAGCTTCTGTTGACAAAGAGCGTCTAGACTGCAGCCAGTTCTGTCGACAGAGCAAGCCGCTTTGTCGACATAACAGTGTGGACGCAAAGGACAGTGTAGATGCAATAGCTCCTTCTATCGACAGAACTCTTGACAAAAGGCGTTATTCCTCGTAGAATGAGGTTTACATACGTCGACAAAACTGCTGAGTTTTGTCGACGTTATGTCGACATAACTCAAAGGCAGTGTGGACGCAGGTATAGTTTTGTCGACAAAAGTCCACTTTTGTCAACAAAACCCTGTAGTCTAGACACACCCTCAGGGAAACCAATAACAATGCGGGCAGTTGTCTAACTTGGTCAAATATTGCATTTGTGGCCCAGCCCTCTCCCTCTGGTCGGGAGAGGGAGGGAGCGGGAGGGGAGGGGACCCATTGCCGTTGCCTTCTGGCAGGGACTGGCATTGAGAAGAGGAGCACAGTGCCCAGCCCTCTCCTTCCAGCTGGGAGGGGGGAGGCCACGCAGCTCCGGCTCCCGCCAGTGAGGGGAAACGCTGCACGGGTCCTACCCACCCCCTGCCCCCAGACCACCAGCGACACAGCACACGTCCTGCACACCCCTCCCCCACCCAAACCTCTGAAAGGCTCTGCAGCTCCCGCATGTGTCCTCCCCGCCACCCCAATCCTCTCAAGGCCACGCAGCTCCCGGTCCCCTCCCTGCACCCGAGTCTGCAGAGCTCCCACATGCCCCCACCTCCTCCCGCCTGAGCCCACACACCTCCTGCACACACTCCTCCCCCACACGAACCCTTGCAAGGGTGTGCGGCTCCCTTGTGACCCCATCTTGGCCCCCGGGTGGAAAAAGATTATTTGACACTTACCCACTTCTCCAGTAAGTTTCCCTGAAAAGTACAGAAATAAAGGCCAATGATTACCAGCCCCTTGCTCCGTTAAACAGGGTTAGAAGTGACATGCTACACTGACACAATCCATTAGGAAAGATGTCAGCTTTTAGCAGATATTTAGCAGATATCCCCTCTGGATGAAGTTTACCTAAGCCTGGGCAGCTGGGTCAGAGTTCATAGAACCCCAGGGCTGCCAGAGACCTCAGGAGGCATCAAGTCCAGCCCCCTGCCCAAAGCAGGACCAACCCCAATTCAATCAGCCCAGCCCTGGCTTTGTCAAGCTGGGATTTAAACAGCTCTAGGGATGGAGATTCCACCCCCTCCCTAGGGAACCCATCCCAGGGCTTCATCACCCTCCTAGGGAAATAGTTTTTCACAATATCCAACCTAGACCTCCTCCACTGTAACTTGAGACCATTGCTCCTTGTTCTGCCATCTGCTACCACTGAGAACAGCCTCTCTCCATCCTCTCTGGAACCTCCCTTCAGGAAGTTGAAGGCTGCTGTCAAATCCCCCCTCCTCTATGGCAGTGGTCCCGAACCTTTTGGGGCTGCCGGGTACCCGGGGGCAGGGCTGCTCATGCACCGCACATCCGGGGAGGAGGGCCGCTCATGTGCCATGCGTCCAAGAGTAGGGCCATGCATACACCGGGCACCCGGGGGTGGAGTCACCCACGCGTCACGCTCCTAGGGCCAGCACCGCACATATGCCACGCGCCCAGGGCAGGGGCCACCCACGTGCCTTGCTCCCAGGGACAGTGCCGTATGCCCAGGGCAGGGGCCACCCACGCGCTCTGCGCCCGGGGCTAGCACCACGCATGTGCCACGCGCCCGGGATAGGGGCCGCCCACGCACCGCGTGCCTGGGATAGGCACTGCGCATGTGCCATGCGCCAGGGGCTGGGCCGGCCCAGATGATTCAGCGGGCACACATAAATGTCCCAGGGGCGCCATGGCGCCCGCAGGCACCGCGTTGGGGACCACTGCTCTATGGAAACCCCCTTCAGGGAGTTGAAGGCTGCTCTCAAATTCTCCCTCACTCTTCTCTTCTGCAGACTAAACAAACCCAAATCCCTCAGCCTCTCCTCATAGGTCATGTGCTTCAGCCCCCGAATAATTTTGATCATCCTCCGTTGGCCCCTCTCCAATGTGTTCACAGCCTTTGTGTAGTGGGGGGCCGATAACTGTATGCAATACTTCAGATGTGGCCTCACCAACACCGAATAAGAGTTATGTTAATATGGGGTTATTTTTATTACCTGAGCAAGAAATGTGGTTTTTACTGATTTACCTGGGATGAGCTACACTTTAATAACAAAAGGGATTTGTAGTACAGATATGAGAGGCCAGCCTAAAGCCTAGGACCAGAGACAGACAGTGGTAACCCCCTGAGAACTAGCTGAGACGGGAGAGGAAGGACTTTGCAAAACACAGATGGATTTGCTATGATCAGATTCTCTCGTTCAGTTCTATTTCCCCAGACTCCGCTCTCTTGTTCTACCCCCCTCCACGCATCCCCTTCTGCCATCCCCCACTGTCGATAAACTCTCCCTCTGATACTCACCTTTCATTATAAACAGACTAGCTGGAGTTACCCGGCTTTGCTTGGGGAAACGGCCGCCCTTCTCCTGATCTCCCCTGGCCAGCCCCGCTGCCCCCGACACCTTCCAGTGCGTCCAAGGGTAGGGCCATGCATACACCGGGCGCCCGGGCATGGAGCCACCCACACGTCACGCTCCTAGGGCCAGCACTGCACATATGCCACGCGCCGAGCCCACACACCTCCTGCACACACCCCTCTCCCACACGCAAGGGTGTGTGGCTCCCGCATGACCCCCACCCAGGCCCCCACGTGTAAAAAGGCCATTTGAAACTTACCCACTTCTCCAGTAAGTTTCCCTGAAAAGTACAGAAAGAAAGGTCAATGATTGTCAGTCCCTTGCACCATTAAACAGTGTTAGAAGCCCCATCCTACAGTTACACACTCCATTAGGAAAGATGTCGGCTTTCATTGGACATTCAGCAGAGATCCCCTCTGGACCTGAACAGCTGTGTCTGAGTTCACAGAGCCCCAGGGCTGGCAGAAACCTCAGAAGGCATTGGGTCTAGTCCCCTGCCCAAAGCAGGACCCACCCCAACTCAACCATCCCAGCCAGGGCTTTGTCAAGCTGGGACTTAAACACCTCTAGGGATGGAGCCATTCCCTCCCTAGGGATCCCATTCCAGTGCTTCACCGCCTGCCTAGGGAAATAGTTTTTCCTGATATCAAACCTAGATATCCCTACTGTAACTTGAGACCATTGCTCCTCATTCTGTCATCCATCACCACTGTGAACAGCCTCTCTCCATTCTCTTTGGAACCCCCTTTCAGGAGTTGAAGGCTGCTCCTAAATCCCCCCTAACTCTTCTGTTCTGCAGACTAAACTTGCCCGAATCCCTCAGCCTCAGGGCTGGCCTTACCATGAGGGAAACTGAGGCAGCCGCCTCAGATGCCAGACTGTGGGGGGGAGCCTTGTCTCTTGCTGGTGCATATGTACGTTTCAGAGCCAGAGCCGGCCCTTGCCATTCTTGCACCCCGGCAGCTCCGCACGGTACCCCTTATAATCAGGCGTCCCGGGCTATCGCCTGGTCAGCCCATAGCTTGGGCCAGCTCTGAGCAGAGCACTCCCAAGAGAGGAGTAGAACAGGAAGAAGGCAGAATTGAGACCTTTCACAATTTTGGCCCAAGCGAGAAGGCATGGGGGCATCATTTGGGCTTCCCGCATCAGGTGCCAAATGTTGTGGGCCAGCCCTGTTCAGCCTCTCCTCATAGGTCATGTGCTCCAGCCACTGAATCATTTTGGTTGCCTTCTACTGGTTCCTCTTCAGTATGTCCACATCCTTTCTATAAAGGGAGTCCAAGAATTGGACACAATACTCCAGATGTGGCCTCACCAACACCGAATAAGAGTTATATGAATATGGGGTTATTTTTATTATCTGAGCAAGAAATGTGTTTTTTAATCGATTTACTGCAAGGGCCTATCTCTAAGGCCTATCTCTGTATTGCTGGGGTGAGTTACACTTTAATAGGAAAAAAGATCTGTAGTACAAATATGAGAGGCCAGGCCTAAAGCCTCATGAGTGTGTTAGTCTTCAAAGTGCCACCAGACTCCTTTTTGTTGAAACAGACTAACCTGACTGCTTTTAAAAGGACTTTTACTAGTTCTCTAAAAAGAAAGAGCCTGAAGCAGGGTCCTGGTGCCTGTATCAAAGGTAGCAAGAGTTATACTCTGAGTAACAGTCAGGTCATGTGAACAGCAGATGTTTCCCTGGATGTCAGTGTCCATTAGCACTAGAGCTGTTAGCACTGATAAAAGCCCATGGAGTGTGTAATTACATTCCACCAGGACAGCACAAGGACACCCCAACTTAGGACATGAAACTATAGTTTGAAACAACAGAAGGGAAACCATGACAAGAGGCGATGAGTAGGGATGCTTTGGAGGAAAGTCCAAGGGGACATACCAAACATGTCATTAATGAACAAGATGATTCGTTTGGCGTGTATTGTACATAACATAAGAACATCAGAATGGCCGTACTGGGTCAGACCAAAGGTCCATCTAGCCCAGTAGCCTGTCTGCCGACAGTGGCCAGCACCAGGTGCCTCAGAG